GAAGAATTATTTTGGGCTCAGTTGTGATTCTTGTTTTTCTTTCCTAGTTTATTTGTAAGTTTCAAGGAGGAGCTGCAGCTCGCGCCTCTCACTGGGATGATGTATGAACTCACTCTAATTTGCTTCTGAATCAATAAACTTATTATTATTCATAAAAAAAAACTGTCCTTGGAGGCATGAAGGAAGCTGTCATTCATGGATGTTTTAAACTGAAGATCATAACAGATTCTAAGGGGAGTGGCTGATGCTTAAAACTGAGCCACTATCATTCCTTCGATTACGTGGGTTTGCAAATATGAAATTGATGTTCTTGTTTTCTCTTTTTGAAGGATCTTTTTTTTTTTCAATTAGAGAGGCTAAAAAGCGATGGCCTAAATTCAGTAAGCATATAAGTTAGTCCATCTTGTTACATTTAAATTGGTCTTCGTTTAAGAATATTTATCAACTTGTATTAACATTTGCCACAAAGCTCATTTCCTTCAAAGTGTTATTCATGGGAATCCTTAAAATAAATGTTCTTCCAGAACCAAAACTACCAAGAATAAAAACCTAAGCTTTAACTGGTAGTTTGGAGGATTTACTTTTTCTATGTAATTCCTCAACATAGTTTGCTTGCATTGTTCTTTGGTTCATTCAAGAGATTGTCCAAAGTGACGCACTGTGTTTCGTGCAGGTTGATTCTTGAAACAGAAGCAAGTGTTATTGCAGGAAAAGTTTCATCACATAGTATGGATACATCAGCACCCTTATCTGAGCAGGTGAAGTGGCTCTTCCTATTGTAGTCCCCAATGCCAAAAGTAATACCATTATAGTAATAGTAGCGACTGCAGAAGAGGCAACTATAATCTTTACTATATTACAACAAAACTTGCTTTACGAATCCTCTTCTCATCAATGCTATTTCCCTCCAAATATTAAGATAACCCTCTCAGCATTGATTATATTCATCCACATGGAACACATACCCTTCTACTTGTAATAAACCTGATGATTTAGACAAATTTTAGAGGATTTATGGTCTATCCTTATCTTGAATTCTATTATAATCTAATATAATACTCTTTATTGACAGACTATAACTCAAGCGCTGGCAACTGCACGCGAACATCTTACAAGATCCCTTCTGAAATGATGCTTGAACCCACACGAAGTTAAGATGGAGGTGTTTACCCTGTTATTCTTTTAAAATTTGTCATTCTGGGTGCAAGTGTAATAGTGGAATATATTATACAGTTAAATGATTCACTTTTCTTCTTACATAATATAGTATATGAATGGATTGATGATATGTCTCAAGCTCCCTTTCTTCTTCTTAATCGGTTTGGAATAACAAAACTCGGAACCAGAACCAATATAATCAGTTCGGTTTATTTGGGTTCTATTGGGCAGACGTGACCCATTGACAGCTCTGTGGGCTCTGGAATTCTAGAGTCCTACGGTAAATTTCTTTTAATGTGAAGCTTACCTAGCAAGAGCCAAGAGGGGTGGTGTCACAAGTAGGTAACTTATCAAATCCATGGGAGTTCATAATTTCACAGGGAGGTGTGTGGCTATATGTGGTAAGCTTTACATTGCAGCAGATTTACCATTAGCATTTGCCCAACGTCTAATACATGTAGAGCTGAAATGAATTTAGTCAATTCACACACATTGCTAATTCAAAGGCTGTCTTAAACTAATAAAGTGTTCTAGGTTGATGGCCCCATCATAAGTTCATCATCCACGCCTTATCCCAAATATATGGTAAAAATAATCCAATCGTTTCATTTTCTTTGAATTCCCCTAGGGAAAATACCTTAGGATTTTTCTTTGATTTCCCTAGAGAAAATATCTGAGGATTTTTCAATATGATAGTTTTGTTGGTTTTCTTGATTCGCTCTACATGTTTAAGGCTTTGCTTTTGTTTGATATATTTTTTTTTAATTTTTATAAACACCTAACTTGTGGAATTTAACCTAAAGCCAGCAACTACGTGTCTTGTGGTGGGTCAAGCAAACGTAACCTAAAAGCGAGCAAGTTTACTCATTTAAGAATCTAGTTTATCTGATCCAAAAATAACCGATCCGGTTCAACCAACACTTAAATAGTGACATTTATAATTTATTTGTCAAAAAAAAAAGAGTAATGTGAAAATTATCATCCGTGACTGTGGCTAAAAATAAAACTAACGTTTTTTTTTTAATAAAAATAAGGGATTATATAGTAGATAAGGGCAACTTTTGAGCCCTAATATCAATAAAAATAATATTTTTAAAAAATTTTCAAAAATAAGTTAAATTTTTAAAATAATATCAATTAATGGCAAAACACTGCCCATCTTCTTCTTCTTGCAATCCATTCATCAGTGTCGCCATCTGCCACCACCCACTGCCGTCTCTAGCAACACCTCCGCCTCCGCCTCAGGCCGGAGGTGGGCGGAGGCAGAGGCAGAGGCGGCGGTGGCGGTGCTAAGAAAGGACGTAGAGAAGCACTCCCACCTTGTGAACGTGCGATGACAAGCTCTCCGTGCAAGGACATGAGGATGGCAGACTCTCAATGTCCATCTCCCTGTTTTGCGTATCTTCGTCAGTTGAATGACCCATCGGAGGAGAAACTCTATAGAAACAAAACCAGATACTCTTGATCAGAGAGGGCGTAATGTGGATCATGGAGTGATTATTACACTAAAATAACGAAACCCTTTTGAATTTTAGTCGAACCCATTATGTTCATGATATATGCAAAAGTGAAAGCTTATTAGAACTATATAACTTAACAGGAAAGCAGCGAGATCTGCTAGCTGAAACTAGCTGCTTTAATTACTAGTTCAAGGTGGAGGCAACAAGAGCTAACAATGTTGAGAAGCTTCAGAACTCAGAGTTCAAAGCCTTCTCTCTGACAAAGAAGAAACGAGGGATTCTCTTTCTTATATAGTTCCCAAGAGCAAGAGAAATTCGAGGGCAATAGGGGATTCAGTGCCCATAGAATATGATCATTCGAGCTAGCTAGATCTTTTCCATGAATATATATTATCACATGCAAGAATGCCAGCGCAGCAGTAAGAGGGAGTTGATCATCTCTTGATCAATTTTTGCAAAATGTGATTTGAAGGCTTCAAGAAAGGCGTTGACTTCATTGTGTCTTGAATCTTGATGGCAACTGCTGTCGCGAATTGATTGTTCTTCTTTGCCATTGTTTCTTATATGCCTAGTTGTTTACAATGCAAATTCATTTTGCATTAATGGTGCAAATAAATTGAATGACCACCAGTGCTGCCGCCGCTGCCTCTGCCTCCGCCCACCTCTGGCGACGTTGCCAGAGGCGGAGATGGAGGTAGCGGAGATAGGTGGAGGCATTGTCAGAGGCGACGGCACTGATGAATAAATTGCAAGAAGAAGATGAACAATGTTTTTATCCTTAATTGATATTATTTTTAAAAAGTTAAAGTATTTTTGAATTTTTTTAAGAGTATTACTTTTATTGATATTAGGGCCCAAAAGTTGCCCTTATCTATTATAATCCTTAAAAATAAAACTAACATTTTTTTGAAGTCATAAAAATAATAAAAAACTAACATGGAACATTATCTCCGACTGCCCAATACAAATTATTTCTGAATCATGATCACAGTTTCTTCTATACTAATATCCATTTAAGAAAGATTGATTGGCATTGGATGATAAAAAGTTTGAAAACAAGGCAATTTCGAAGGTATAATAAATGAAAAACTTTTTAAAAGAACTAATTGGGATCATACAATGCACGAGATTTGTTAAGAAAAATTGAAGTAGAAGTTGCCCTATGACTTTTTCAATTGAGCCAAATCATTTAAAGTCCAATTCAAGCATTATTTATGTCTCTTTGGTCTAATAACTAGGGTGCAAGTTGGGCGGGGGGTCATTGACCATCCCGAGCCAGGCCTTGGCCCAAGCCCAACCCCAATGCATCAAATTACAATGTGGGTTGGGCTCGGGTTGGAAAAAATCGAGCCTGACCTTGCGACCAGTCCAAGCTCGGGCCATAAGCCCAAATTTTAGGGTTGGGCTTGGGTTGACCATAAACCCAAACCAACCCACTCGACTTGGACCCCTACTAATAGGGATCTACATTGCTGATCAAAATTTGTGTTAATTTTATTATATTTAAATGAAATATAAAGTGAACTTTAAATTACTTAAAATGTATTCTATACAACTAAAATACTAATGCAGGCTAACTTGGGCAATTTGATTTGGTTGGGCACAATTAGGAGTGTTAGGAGTAGAGGTGTCAACGGTATTCGAAAATCCGATTTCAAATTCGATATTCGGCATAATCGAATAGTATTCAGATAATTTGAATATTTAATCGATCGAATTTAGATATCCTATTCTTATCAAATAGTTAATCGGATTCGAATTCGGATATGACCTTATTCGATTCGATAAATATTTGAATTCGATCGATTATTTAAGTCTTATATATAATATATAAAATATTTTATGTAACTTATATATAATAATTGAGTTATATAAATAATTTATATATTTATATACTTTATATCAATAAAAATATTTATTAATTATTTAAAATAATCAATTAATCGAATTCAAATCGAACTGAATATTCAAATATTTAACTAGATTCGAATTCGGATATTAATTTTCAATATTTTTATGGCTTATTGTTAGTAAAATAAATTTTATTAATTTTGATTATTTTTAAATAGAATTCAAATGGATTTAAATTTATAATTTTTATTAGGATTAATGATTAATAATTATTATAAGATTGTATAATTGATTATAATTATAATATTTTTATTAACTATTATTTATTATAATTTTATCATGGTTATTTATTCTAATTATTATTTAAAAAACATTTAAATATTAATATTTTAATATGCTTGATGGAAACTAAATGCATGTATTAGAAGGTGGACAGAAACCATACATAGGCGGCTAACTCTCTCGCTCTCAAAGCAAAGGAACGGACTGAAAGAAGAAATGGGTGGTCTGTTTCCCTTCCAGAGCTGTTGACCAAAGGGATTCCCCATACATCGGACACCTCCCAGAATCCGACGAAACGATAGAAATCCAACGAAATTTAAGAATATGAAAGTTTTATGAAGCTGCGCGCAGACAGAAATACGGATTGGGGGAGAGAGAGAGGGAGATTTTAATTTTTAATAGCAATTACTTACGTGGGTTGTGATTTGTGAAGAGACAACCGGTAAATAGTAGGGTGTGAGAAAGAGTTCACGAATAAAGCATTTTTAGTAGATTTATAAATGAAAAATATTTCTCTTTTTTAATAATATATATATATATATATATATAATAAAGTAATGAAATCAGGCCAAGGGAAGTTTTCATTCTCAATATCTTCCCAAAAATAAGTTTAATATCAAACAATTTTCAATCTTCAGACCTGAGAAGTGGGAAATTCCTACTCTCAATCTCTTCCTAAAAACAGCCAAATATCAAATAATTTACAATCTTTCTACACATTCACTCTAACTGAACTTTCTGCACATTCAACCGTCTCTGCCCAACTCTCAATGAATGTGCTTTGTGAGGCGGAGCCTTCCAGGACTTCAGCGGCTCCAACGACAAACTACCACTCTTTCCTGGTAGGAAAACTCTGATTCGGGACTTCAGGTTATTGCTGCAACAGCAAACGGTGTCTTCGTTTCTGAACGATGGCGACTATAACACCAGTGTAGGTTAGGGTTTGAGAAGTTTATAGATATAGAAAGAAACTAGGCGAAGAAGATTCGACAGTGCAGCTTAGACTCTATCAATCATTTACCCAAGAAAGATTTGTCTGGTTTCCCAATTTAGCAACAACGTTAACAACTCAAGAAGGGTAGGAACAGAGTGAGGAAACGAATATGTTGAGGGTGCGGCGTAGAAAAGCCTCCGAAATCGAGCAAACTTCCAATTTGGATGATCGTAAAGAGATCAATAGTAATTAAAATTATAATAGTCAATATAATAACTATTATAACTATTATTGATGATGCATAATTTGGGCGCTCCCTCGTGTGCTGTGACTCAGACTTCGACTGGCAATAATCTGGTGGTATTCGAATTGAAGTGAGCTATAAAAAAAAAAAAAAGGTGAGTGCCCGGGTAGTTTTTCACTACAGGAAAAATTGGCTTTAACAACAGACAAAACCATTGCAAAAATATACAAAAAAACATTGCTAAAAGATATAGCAACGGTTTTTTGTCGATGGCAGATATTGGCATGACTAAAGCCTATAGCCACGGATTTTGTACACTATCGCTACAAATATACCTATAGCAACGGTTTATAAAAAAAAAGTATTGCAACAGACTTATTTGGTACCGTTGCTAAAAATTTCTACCACAATGGTTTTATCCATCACTATAGAATATGAGCTATTGTTCAATAAATAGAAATAGCAACAGTTTTAAGTAAAACCATCGCTATAAGTATTAGCCATTCTTATGTATTGCTATGGTTTTTTACATTAACGGTTGCTATAAAATTCTTATAGCAACGGTTAGGATAAAAAACCGATGTCGTAGATTGGTCGCCACAAAATATAACTGCAACCTTTAGCAACGGTCATCATAAACCGTTGCTAAAGGCTTGTTTCTTGGTTGAGATTAAATGAATGCCATTACAAAAAAAAAAATAATAATAATAATTTCACCTGTTCTTGTATGATAAAACCTGTACAGACTTATACAAAACATTCATAGTAGTCTTTGTTCAATACACACTTTTAATAAATTTTTTTCATCACCAAAAAATGAAAAGAGAATTAACAAAATTATCCTCATTGCATCTGAATAGTTGATTATATGCACTTGCATCATACTCACGACCTTTGCTTTGGATCATAAACTTCGATCTGTCATGTTCAACAAAAATGAATACATAAGAATTGATGTCAATAATTAGATATATAAATTAAATAATTAGAATTGATCATAACCTTCGCTTTGTTCCTACACAGTGGTTTATTTTCTTCAAAGCACGACTGCTTTTATTTACTTTGCTAAATGTCTAATAAAGAAAAGTAAAAAAAAAAACAATATGTTAGTATATGTTTAAATAAGATATCATTTTTAATGAATTTAATTTGCATACCTTAATTTTTTCTGATTGCCACATTTGAAGCAAATTTACCCACTGTTCTTTAACAACACGATCCATTGGAGGAGTAAGTTGTTCTGCTATTGGAACTTCAGGCTTATAAAAATCCGGATATAGAATGCATTTCCATTGCTTCCATTTTGCATTTAGGTCCTTTAAACACCATTCTTTACGATCATCTAAAACATCAAACTTATCCTACATTGCATATGTAAGAATGAGATTTTATATATCATAATTCATCACACATATTTGATTATTTGAAAAATGTTCAAATCCAACATACAAATAGTGAATAAATTGAAAAGAATACCTTGATAAAACCCCAAGCACGATCTTTAGTTGTATACAATACTTTCTTCCAACTATCCACACATCAACAGGTACAATATTTCCATTACGTGCTATCGTGCCAATAAACTGAGACAATTTTCCATCTTCTGGTTGACCACGCTTATTAAAAGATACAGAAATACGCTCATTATCATTCATTTTATACACATCTTTTCAAAAAGTGGGGCCTCTTGTTTTCTTGTGCTATGAGGACTCTATTTGTGGGGGTAATTGGTCTTCAGTTTCCTCCTAAGAATGATGAGAGGGCAAATGGTCTACTTGGGGTTGAGAAACTTGAGGGTGTTGCAAATGAGATTGCTGTGGTTGTTGTGTTTCAGTCTCTTGTTCTTCAACTTCCCTATTTAATTGAGAATTTGGGACTTGCTGCACTCGATTTGTTTGAGATCATTTTCTTTTTGATGCTCTAGAAAAAAAATCCAAGGGAATCAAAATCAGATGGTGCAACAAAAAAGCTCATCTATGGTGTGGCCCTCTGTTATGGACGCCTTCCTCGGGAAGACGTACCATCGCCGCCGGCAGCAACAGGCCCCGGGCCCACCGCCAGCAGCAGCAAGGATTCAGTGATGCTCATCCTACCCAATTCGGCAACAACAGCCTTATCTAGATTAGATTAGCTCATTTT